AACTCTTAAAGGCAGTTGGCACGATGGTTTCCTACTTAGCCTAAAATGCTAGTAGGGCGCTGTATAGTGGGGAAATGGCGAAAGAACGGAGTGAAACGGTCAAAATCCTGCGAAGAAAAAGCCTCCGTTCTCAGTGACTTGTAAATCGATTTCGGACGAGTTTCCCGTAGGCATCTTGCCAATCACCGCTACCGAAGATACGGCTGCATATGTGTACCCATATATGCATGCAGCATCACGGCCGCTTCATACCAATCCCTTCGCTTCATAATTTGCTTAGCAAATGAATGAATACGAGCGTCAGGAACGGTCGTCCATTTGGGCAAGGAAGGCGTTTGGGACGTAAAGTTGTTGCTCAATAGGGCGTTATAGGGGTACCCTCCTTGGAAAAGGCTTCACGCAGCGCCTGTCCGAGGTCACGGAATTCTGTTAAGCCAGTTGTACAAATCCTACACCTGTATAGCGATTTATCGTGCCAACTGCCTTTAATCCGCTTGATGGCCACTGATCGCGGGACTCGCCTTTAACTGGATGGCCTTATTCGAGCTAGGTTTCGGGATCTTCGCCTCCGAAAGCGCCTGAAATGGGCAAAAAAGCATCCAAGGCCTTCCCATTCGGACGCATCAACATTTTTCAAGAATTTTCTGCTGGACTGATTAATCGCTCAGTGCAATCGACTGGCACCGCTGGTTCACCTTTATTTCGAACGCGACAATGGAGAAACACCTTGGGAATGAACCAGCTGAAACGGAATATCCATCACCAGTTTCAGAAGTCGACATTCCAGTAGGAGGGTTACGAAAGCGCACAAGCTTAATTACGGCTGTTTACTTACCCTTTCTGACCACTTGAGGGCCTTTGCCGGTGAACTAAAAATATGGCCTGAATATGGTTTCTCGCTACTGTGGATGCAGGCATTATACGGATGCAAAACAAAAAGCTTAAGAATAAGTTCAGAGAAGTTCAAACCTAAGAGCGAAGTACTCGAAGGATTCCGGAGCCAGGGTTTGGATTTAAGGTATCCCCCGGAACGTTTTTCCTAAGCCGTTACTCGTCTTCTTCTGACGGATATGTACTCGGGCTAAGTCCGTATTTGTTTGTTCTCTAGTGGTCGTTGATGAATGTTCTTCTTTCTCTCGAACTGAAACAAATGCGTTGATCAGTGGAAGTAATTCGTCTTCATTTCAGGACGTTTTTACTGTTGGTTGTTGCAATATGAATGACCTCTGTTTTCACTTTTCTCCGTTTTATCTGTTTTGGAATCTTGGAACAGTAAGTGCACTATTACGAGAGAGTAACTGCTAAAAAAAGAATCGATTCAGATTGCATTGTATCGTTCTAAACATAGGATTTCTTCAAAGCAATCTCAACAAGGAAAAGGTACCTCCAGAGCGGGTTACCTCCCTGGCAGCACAACTGCCGAACACCAAACATTTCTCCCACCATGTGAAGAATTTATGTTTTTGGATCCCATTGTGAATGCGGCTGGTAATTACA